CTTTGAGTAAGGCTGCGTCGAAGTCTATAATGAAAGCGAAGAGGCCCTTTCTCCTGGCATCTTTGAGAGAGGGCAGAATCGGATTTCAGAAGATTCAAGTCCATTTTATTTCATTAGGAGTACAGAAGACGAAAACAGACAAACAGTGATAGAATCCATTTTCCAGAAGAGTTGTCCCCGTCTGTCCCAGTCAGCCAGGTGGCTGGTCTCCATCAAACATTGAGCTCCTTACAGAGTGCTCTAGTGCAAATGAAAAATGGAAGCTGGAGCCTTGACCCAGGCTCATGGTTCTTCTGGGCCACATGAGAGTCTCCAGAGGCAGCACCCAGAGGCTCACAGGACCTGACCCCCGAGACTGCCAGGCCAAGACCCTCTCACCATCCGCTTCTCCACTCCGACCCTTGGACAGCCAGTGGCCTCCAAAGGCTAGATTTTCCTTCCTCCTGCCTTGTGCACAAACAAAAACAATACCCGTTTAAAGAAGACAAGACAACTTAATACGAGTCTGATTGTGGATTGGATGTTTTTGCTACAAAAGAAGGTATTGGGACAGTTCGCATAGCTTGAATGGGTCTGGAGATTAGCTGGGGTGAAATGCCAACGTGAGTGTTCTGGTGTCAGTGGTGCTGCTGTGGAAAAGTAGGAGGAGGCCCCTGTTTGTGACTGAAGCTACTGAAGTGTCTCGGGGCAGTGACCACCACTTCAAGTTACTCCCAAATGGATCATGGGAAAATCCTGGTTTTTTTGTATACTTGCTAATTTTTTGGAAGTTTGAGATGGTTTCTGAATTTCAAAAAATAATAATTTAAAAAATACACATGTCATTGCTCCCTCCTTCATCTGTCCCCTGCGTCTTTTCCACAAAGTAAATTTCTTCTAGGCTACTGCCTAGAGACTCAGGTTCAGATCCCAAATGTGTCACTTAGTATGTGATACCTCAGAGACATCACCACCCCCCGCCCCGCCCTGCACTGCCTCGTGCTGCCTCCTGGGGGCCACAGGGAGCAAGCCCGGCCAAAGCCAGGGCTGGGAAAGTTCATCCAGGAAGGACAGCTGAGGGCCGGCTGGCTGCCGGGGCAGGTGAAGCGTGAACAGTGAGAGTGGAGCAGCTTCCTCCGTGAAGCTGGGGCAGGATCAGCACTTGCCTCACCTTTGTGGATTTCTGGATGGGTTTTCGTTTGCTTTCAGTGGGGATAAAATGAGGCCATACACCTCGCATCCTGCCTAGCTTATAGTGGCCATTCAGACAGCACCTAAGGGGAAGGGATAGCAAACTTGCTTTTCCATTGAAATCTGTGCTCTTGGGGGATGTGAAGGAGCTCGTGCCATGCCAGCCAGGTTTCACCTAGCCTGTCGCTTACTCCTGGAAGTCTTAGGTCTCCAGCTCATGCACAGAGGTGGCCCTTGCTCACCTGGCTCTGCTTTCTGGCCTCAGGCCCCACAGCCTTGACAGCCCAGGACGCTCTTGGAGCCCACTAAGAAAAGATGTGGGAAGCAATGCCCGTGCTTAGCCAGTGTGAATTGTCATCTTTGATCCTGGCCTTCTCTTGCAAGAGACAAGAGCAAGGACCGACTGGGGCTGCTTCTTCCCTAGGGGAGGAGCTTAAGGAGAGGCCAAAGGCTGGGACAAAGTGTGCTTTGTAAACAAAACCAGGCCTGCGGCAGAGCTCCCTGCCAGAGTGCTGAGGACCGATAAGCGTTGAGGAGCGTCGTCCAGTTGCTTTCCAAGGAGACTGAGATTCCTACCTGGGCCCACACAGATGGAGTAAACGATCGCTCTGGTCCAGCTGCAGAGGGCTGTGGGCCATGGGCAGCTCCAGAGAAGACTGATGTCACCAAGTGTGATACCACGAGAGCCCCCAGGTGACATCCTCAGAGCACGGGCCCACGTCGGAGAACGCTCTGAGTTGCTGTGGTTTTAAACAAGAGAAAGCTGGGGATCGGGGAAGAGGAGGCTGTCCCGGCACAGGCAGAACTGGGCAAGTCTGGAACAAAGAAGAGTGAGCCCTGAGGGAGGGTGCTGCTCACCTGCGCTGTCAGCGTCACACGCCGTCCCCTCAGCCTGTGTGGTGCTCCCTACTCCCATGTCACAGCTTATCCCCAAGGTGCGAAGGAAAATGCCTTGCCCAAGGTCTCGCAGCTGGGGGATGACAGCTGGGATTCTCTACTCCAGAGCCTCCCTTCGTCCCTTCTCTGCACTGCGTCCTGCTGCCTCCTGGAGGCCACAGAGGGCAAGCCCAGGCGGAACCAGCACAGGGAAAGGCAGGAAGGGCAAACGGGGACCAGAGTGGCTGGTGACTTAAGAGAAAGGGGGCTGCAACAGAAACGGTTTTCAGCGGGAAAACCTGCATCGGGGTTGAGAGGAGAGGTGCATGCCAGGAGTCGGTGCTGAGGGAGCACTTGCTTCGTCCCTCTGCAGCTCTTCCTGGGCCAACCGTGCTTGCACACATGTGGCGACTTCACTCCTCTGTACCAGTGCTGCACTCTCAAACCCTGGGAATCCCTGCTTCAGCTTTGGCATTGCCCGTCCTCTACTCCATCCCTGAGACGGCCAAATCACCATCGGTTTTTGCCCCTCCCTCCCTCCCTCCATGACCCCCAAGCTGTGTCTCTGCAGGAATTCTACTTGGCCAGTCTGCTCCTCTTCCTGACCATTGAAGGAAAGTCCTGGAAGGTGGCCTTGTGCCTCCGTCACCCCCTTACTCTCTGGGATCAGGGAACAGGGCCTGCCACATGGAACAGTCTACAAGTCCAGTTATCTGAATCAAAGTTCCCACCGTACTTGAGGCAAGTGCTCAAGAACTGCAGTTCTCGTGGTCAGACTACAAGAAAATGACAGTTCCGCCTCGGCCTCCTCAGAACTGGCTTTTCCAGTGAAGTGTGGCCGTGGACACGTGCTCTCTTACCCCTTTACCCCTTGTGCTTTTCCCAGCAGAGCTGGGTTCGGCTGAGCCATACAGAGTCAAGGGCATCAACTGCTCGCTCTGTGGCACCGGAGGACTGCCAGGAAGCAGGGCCGCAGCACCTCGTGGCCCATTCATCTCCTCTGGTATGGCTGCAACTGTTAGTTCCATTCTTCTCCGATTAGAAAACCTCTGGGGTTTGGGTATTAGCAACTACCAAATATGTGGTTTATTATTTGTTCAGCGCTAACCCCATGCAGCACCCCAAGTGGGAATTTTCACAACAATACACAAGACTGTGCTTGGGGATAGTAGAGCTTTTTCATTTTGAATTGCATTCCTCAAGCACTCTGGCTAAAGGGCCTGTGCTGACCTCCCCACGTTGGGACAGATTTCCTTGCTGAGGAAGTCTATGGGAACATTCCTCTTCCCTGAGCTGGGAATGTGACCCTGTGACTGGGCGTCCATTACAGCCAGGGGGTGCGGGTGCACCTGCAGGGTCTCCTTCCCTCACAGAGGGACTAGAATCCCGCCTCTGCAAATCCACCCTGCTCAGGCTCTGCGGAACATCTGGGCTTCCTCCTACTGGCCACTGCCTTAGGGCTGCACACCTGCATGTGATTAGAACCTGCAGACACCCACAGCCCCAGCATTGGCGGCCACAGCACTGGCAACACGTCACAGTGGACAGGGTTCTCCCCAAATCACTGTCCCTCCCGAGCAGATAAGTGTAGGGTCCCCAGAACATAGGAGCACCACCTCCGTGGACAGCACTTAGAAGTGTCTTAGCCTCTGCCTGCTTGGAAAGGAGCAAGCATCATGGGTAGACCTGGGACACACCAGGGCCAGTGAGGAAGCACATGAGTCAGTCTCGGGCTCCCCTTAGCATCACCCAGGATGTGGCCTTTGGGGCTTGCTCTCATCAGTGTTTGGGAAATAGGGTAAATTTTTGAATGCCATCCCTGGGTCCCTGTAATTCCCCCTTCTCCACTGTATAATCCTCTAACCACAGAATGCTGGGGTAGGTCATGTAGAGACTGAAAAATAAGAAAACGAAGGACTGACCGAGGATTGTTAGAAACAAAGCATGACGTCACACTGTTCCATTGCAAGGTCACAGGAATGATGCATTTATTGCATCTGCCAAATGAGCTAAAAGGGGGACACCATTTATTTCTTCCAAGGAGACCCCTTTATTTAGTAGCAATGAAATTCAGAAGCAGCGGAAAGAGCAGTTTCTTGATCTGCCGCCTTTCACCCAACAGAGACTTGGGCTGACTTAGAGACTTGGGAACGCCAGGATCTGAGGGGGCTCGTGCCGCCACCACTCTGACAAAAGGCAGGCCTGCCGGCAGACTCCATCTCCCCACAGCTGCCGCTCCGCTACTTGTCTCTCCCAGAAACAGTTACGGAAGAGATGAACTCGCTCTCTGCTGCATCTGGAGGAAAATCGGGTGTGGGGGCTGGGAAAGCCGCACAGAGCGCCTGCGGGCAGCCAGCCCTGCGCCTACCCACCTGGGAGAGGTGGTGACGCCTAATGCCTTGTCACTGAGCACGGGATCTCTGCACTTGTCTGAGAGGACCCAGCCAAGGCGCCCGTGGACTTTGCTCTAGGAAATCTGTCATTGGCCTTGGCGGAGGAAGCTGCTCCAGCAGGACCCTGGGACCACCTCTGGCGTGGACAGAGCCTTTCCCTGCAGCCGTGTTTGGAAGGACAACACTCGCTCTCCGGAAGTCACGACGCTTCACTCGCCCAGGGGATGTGTTCCACTGCATCCCGCCTCTTCTCCCCCTACCCCAGGCTTCAGCTGGTACCTTCCTGTGCAGACTTCACACAGCACGGATCTGCCTGCAGTGTCCTACAGTCTCCCGCCAGTCACCAGGACCCAGCATGCAGCGGCCCCGGGCTGAGCCGCCTCCCTCCACAGCTCCGTATCTGGGAGGCTGGGGTTTCCAGAGGGAATGGCCAGCCCCCTCATTTGAGTGCAGTCATTCCTAACACCTCAATGGCTGGCCGTGGCTCTTAGCTGTTGGACAGCAGGATAGACTGGGTAACAAAAGCCGACAAACACTTCTCCAAAGACCAGTCATGAGCAGTCATATGAATAAAATATTTAATCAACTTATCTGTACAAAATATTAAAACGGTTAATGAGGCGTATACAAGCCTGTTTAACAAATATATACCGCTATATAATAGTCAAGAAAAATAGAGATTGCTGTTTTACAGGTCATTTACATTTCAATATGTACAATCTATTTAAATTTGAGAATACATATACACATGGATTTATACCTGCCCTTGACGGGTTCCCTGCTAGCTGGCTGGGCGGCAAGGAGAAAGCCCAATCGAGTTCTGCCCTGGCCAAATCAGAGCTGGAAGACTGCCAACAAAGGGGATTTCAGTTTGCGTTAAATGAGTTTCTAAGACTTCTCCCCCTCCCCCACCCCCTACCCCCAGGCCAACTGGGAAACAGTGGGTGTCACTACAGAATGAAAGGGCCTTCTACTCCCACCCCCCCCAACCCCCAAATAATTAATTTTGTCTTTAGCCGCTGAGGGAACAGCGTGTAATTGAGCCTTGATGGTGTTACCATCGCTTTGAGTTTGGCCATTTCCTTAAAATCGCAGTATTGGAATCAGATTAAATCGGCCTCTTAAGCTGCAGGCTGCTCATGGCATGCAGACCCACTCGGGGCCTGCCCTGGACAGCGTCACGTCACGTCGCCTGCTGCTGCGGCAGTCCCGCAGCAACCTACACAGGGAGAGGAGCGGCTGCTTTGCTCACGCACGGGGAGGGAAGAAAAAAAAAAAACTTTCCAAACTTTTCAGGCCCCTCCACGGTCATCTGCCGCCTTGCAAAAAGTGCTTTACCTTTGCAGTGGGAGGGGTGCAGTGCTTCCAGTTCAGAAAGCCAAAGTGATTCAGTGGTGATTCTCTGTCAAAGAGGACAGAAAAGCTGTTTGCGCGAAAGTGTGGCATGAAATACAAAAGTAGAACCACTCTAAGGATGCTCCCGTTTGATCCGTGACGTATCCGAGGCAGAGAATGCCAGAGAAAATTCCCTCCTCCAGAGCCTCTGGGCCTGGCTTGAGCCGTGAGCATTTCCCAGCCAGAAGGCGTGCCCCAGCCCGCGCTTGCTGTCTCACCGCCCTGCATCCCCATTCGCCTTCTCCAAGCTCTCTCCCCAAAATGTAAGTTGCAAAGAAATAAACCCTGCCACCGGCACCCTCGCTCCCCAAGCCAAGGTGCTGCTGCCCCAGCCCACGAGGGAGACTAGGACCCCTGCACCGGTTCCTGCCCTTAGCAGATGTCACTCACTCAGCTCAGAAGATGAAGGCAAGGAAAGGCCCTGGACACACCTGGTCACGGCTTTCCAGACTCGTGCCATGGAAAACCTGCGGCGAGGGCAGCCCGTAGCCCCTGTGAGGGGTGGGAGAAGCCAGACTCCAAGGGAAGACCTGCGAGTGCTGTCAGGCTGTGCTTGGTCACACCTAACCATCACCACCTGCCGGACGCTGCCCCGCCCCACCTGGACGCCCAGGGAGTGTCCCAGCCTGTGGGCCTCTGAGCCCTCAGGTTTACTTCCCACTCAGCAGGGCTTTAATGAACCGGCCTTACTGGAAGTCCTGTCTTGGTCAGCCATGAGCAGGCCTCAGGCCCAGAGGGCGAAGCTGTGAGTCTAGATCCTGGCAGTTGAGCGCCCAAGGAGCCTCCCCGCACTACGGGCATCCCACGCCACCTCCAGATGCCGCCGTCTGCCGGGTGGACGTGTGGGGTGGCTCCACCAAGAAACCAGCGCTCGGCATCTCAGCTGGACCAGCCGCCACTGCACCGCGCCCCTGTGTGCCCACAACCCAAAACGCGGCCCAGAGGCCCAGCAGCTGGCTGTGTCCCTGCTCTTGGAATGTCAAGCTCTTCCTGGCTTTGGACGGCAGAGGAAGCGGCTCTGGGGGCCTCGGCACACAGCGCAGGCTGCGGGTGTGACTCAGGCCAAGGGTTCAATGACCTCACGCTCCTCAGCTCCATCCCCGCTGACCCAGGTGTGACCGCTGCCACTGCCGCCGCCATGATTGCCCCAAATCCACAGTTGCCGGGCCAAAGGCGAGCTGCTGAGTGCAGGCCAGCGTCAGGCACGGCCCAGGCTCCACAGGCTCCACAGCCACCGCAGCTGGGAACAGCTGGGCGCGTGCGCACCGTGAGCAGAGAGCATCCCTGAAGGCTGAGCAGATGCCTCCCAGCCCTCGGCATCGCCCTCCACTATGCAAAGGCGCCTGCAGCCCTGCCCCTGGAGCCCCCCACCCCTGAGAACAGGCTTCCCTCACCTGCAGCCCTGCTCAGCATCGCCTGTTTCCCGTAGCCCCCGAGAGGGGTGGGAGAAGCCAGACTCAGCTCAGTGCACAGGTGAGAATCCAGACCAGCACAAGGCCAGGAAGGACACTTGTGCCTCCCCCAGAAGGCCTTCCCCTTGCCCCTCAAAAGGCCAGGCTGCCAGAGACAAAGTATCTTTTTTGAGGCCTTTGGATGTGACTGCCCACGGCCACGTTCCAGGCCATGGAAAGGAAGGGCAAGAGGAAGAGAAGTTCTTCCGGCACCTGCCCCGGGGACCCCCACCCCCACCCTCAGGCCCAGACACGTCACGTTGGTGAGGAGGTCGGGACTTGATGGGCACCTAAGACAGCAGCCCACCTGGGGACAGTCCCAGGTCCCTGTCTGGCTGCCAACAGGGCCCAGCCGTCCCTTCCCTGTGCTGCCCCTACAGACGCACCAGCCGCAGGTGCCAACATTTCCCCAGCGCAGTGCCAGCCTGCGCGTGGCTCTGCTCACCACACCTGCGCAGGGTTAGCAGCGCGCCTCTGCTAGGGACACAGGATGTAAGCCTGGCTCTGGTGAGCTGAGCCCCCACCCGCCAAGGTCCTGCCCTCCTCTGCACCTGCCTTGCCCCAGACAGAAATCAAAGCAACATCTACAAAGCACCAAGAGTGCCCAGGAGTGAGAGGGACACACACACACACACACACACACACACACACCACTCTGGAGATGAGGCTCTGGGACTGGGCCAGATGCAATCACATTTTGAACCATCTGAGCGGGCTGTGGGGGGCACAGCAGAACCCTAATCCCTTGGGTGTTCATTTCTCAAGGCCAGAATGTGAAGGCAGCGTGGAAGTGACTGCCCATGGCTCTCCTCAGACCTCTGCCTGCAGAGCGGCCTCCCTCCAGGTGGGCGTGGGCCATGCTGTGAGGCTGTGAGGCTGTGAGGCTGTGAGGCTGTGAGGCTGTGAGGCTGTGAGGCTGTGAGGCGGGCATCCCTTGTGGGCGGGCACAAGCCAGTAGGGGGCTCAGCCTCAGCAGTGTTTCTGCCCACACACTCCCAGGGGCTTGGGACCACAGCGTACCTTCCTCTCTCCCTTCCTCAATCCACTCTCTGGGGGCAAACACGGGCCTTGGCTCTGTCTCAGGAGTGCTGCTTGGAGAGCCCTGGCCTTCCCAGCCCACCCGGCATCCTGAAGGAGGCCCCCTGGCGCGAGGCCCAGCGTGAGGGCCCTGCTTTCCAGGCCAGCAGAGGCCCGCGCCCCCAAGGGGCCGTGCTCTTGTGGGAACCTGCAGGGCTTACGGCGGGCCTGACGCAGCTGCAGCCCTTTCTCCTCTTTCCCCTGGCTTTTCTGCAGACCAGATTCAAGCCAGGGAGAGCTGGGCTTTTTCTGTGCACAGCCTGCTCTTGGAAACCGTTCAATTTTTCTTCCTGCTTTGGGAAGACAATCAGCGTGCAGTCCCGAGCCATTTTCTGCCGGGAGTCGGAGTGAGATTCCTGCCAGGATGAAGACCTTGTAGGATCTAACACGCTCCTTCCGTCCACAGGGTTATCCCCTCCCATCACTGCTGGAGGGCAGGCTCCTGCGACACCAGGAACCCAGCAGACAGGGCGATGTTACTACCCCCGCTTCATTACTGCACCCGGCTTCTACTGCACTCACACCTCCTGGCGCCCAGGGCACTTTAGCAAGAAGATGCCAAGAGGGCTGGTGAATGGGGAGCAAGCATATAGCAAGTGGCAACAAAGTCTCCCTCTCTGGAAGACCCAGCCCAGCTGCACAGGAAGCCAAAATTCAACCAGGTAGTTCTTGGGAGCTGTGGAAATGTCCACCTGCCGTGCAGGGATCCCCTCACCACCAGAGTTCTGCTCCTGGCAGTGGTGTCCAGCTGTCTTTGTGTCTGGCAGACCCAGCAGCAGCCCCCTTGGGCCCCAGCTGGCTTCCCCAAGCTCCCTGAGTAGGGATGCCAACCCCACTCACTCACAGGAAACAGTGGTTCAGATGATCTCAACTAGTAGTGCACAGTTCCCCCCACAAGATGGAAAACTGTGTGCACTTCAGCAGGGATGCTTCGGTGACCTCAGACGGGGTGGCTGCGCTACGCCGCTCGGTCTTGCCACACTTGATCCCTGCCTGCCGGGCGCTGGCTCTCCCGTCAGTGCTGACTGGACATTCCAGCAGGGGACTGCAGCGGAGCAACTGGGCTTGTGCTGGTCACCCTGGCCCGACACCCCTCTGCCTGTAGTACACACAGAGCGTGCAGCGTAGCTACCAAGCGTGGCGGGGCCACTTTAACCACGTCTGAGTGGAAGACACCTGTCTGCGCACATGGGGTTGCCCTCACCCTCCTGCTGTCGTCTAAACTGTGGGTTCCCCTCATAAGGACCGGCAGAGCTGGAGCAGGGCGCCCTGGCCCCTGGTGGCCCGGCAGCTCCACGGGAAATCCCAGACAGTGCTTTCACTCAGTGAGCAACGCCCCAGCCAAGGAACCATCACTGTCTAAGGACAGCACCCGATCCGGGGGTGCAGCCTGCACTCAAGACACAGGGACGCCCGCTTCCTGCGTCACTCACAGCTATCCCATCTAACCCCATCGCAAAGCACCAGGGGAAGGGGTGTGGCTTTGTTGGTTTTTTTTTTTCTATCCATAAAAAGCTCAGGATAAATCATGACATTTCTTCCCCCTCAAAATCGCTTTTCCTATTTGCTAAAAAAAGTATCAAAGTGTTTGCTTTTGGCCTACGACATGAAATACACTAGAATTTCTTCAAAGTCATGTTCAGCTATAGTTTTTCATTAACTTCCTTTTGAAACATTCTAGCACAACATTTAACATGTGGTGCCATTTTTAAAATAGTTCATTATGACAAGTATAAAAGCAATCACTCTTAAAAATCACCTTTTACCAAAAACAAAACAAAAACAAAAACAAAAACAAAAACAAAATAACAACAACAAAAAAAACTCTGCAGGCTTCTTTGGCAAAATCCACCAATTTGGGAATTCCCTTTGCCCACTTGTTGAAATAAGACTGAATTGTATGACAGTGGTCACTTTTTAAAAAATTTAATCTTTAGAGGGGTATTTCATGTTCCAGTTATTTATAGCCACTCAGATATAAATTCACACTTTAAGAAGGGGAGATTTTAATTTTAAGAATACATTTATATACCTTTTTCCCCTTTGCAGAATTCTACAGATGGAAAAGGACTCAGGCTGGGCTGTTAATAAATTAGCCGTATCTAAGTCTCTGGTCTCTCTCTAAGTGTAATCACTAAGAATTAAACTGCACGTAAGCTGTCCTGGACCTCAGCTCCCAGGGTGAGTGGAATTCACGCCTCTCTGAGACTCTGAGGGAGAAAGCCCAGCCTGGCATTAAAGGGAAGTCCCCAGGAGGGCTGCAGCCAGTTGCAAAGACGCAAACCGGGACAGGTGGAGTCCAGGTTTTTTCCCTTCCATCCACAAAGGGCCACAAAGGACTCCCAGGCATAACCAATCAAACACAACAACGAAGGCTGCTCACTCCTGCATGGCCAGAAACATCCCACCACCTGTCAGGCTTGGGAACATGGGGTGGGGGTGGGGGGGCCAGGACAGCTCTGCGTCCCACACTGAGCCCTGCCCAGCCTTCCTCCTGCTCTGCAGCTCTGGGTTGTGAGTTCCAGTCTGACAAAAGCTTCACTTCCCAATACTATCACAGTGCAGAAACTACAGCATCAACAGTGAACGCATGTGAACGCCAAGGCAGCCCTGACAGCTAAGCACATGTATGCCGCGCCTACCCGCAGACCAGCGCGCAGTCAGTCCTGGAGCGGCCCCTCCACACGAGGGCCCTGGGGGCCTCTTAGGAAACCCTGGCAGCTCTCTAGAGCCCGCCCCCTCCCCGTTCCCAGCCCCTGCCCTCGCTTCCTCCGCTGTGCCACCTCCCTGGGACCAGCCTGGGAGCTTGTGAACTTGGCTGGGACCACCACACCCTCAATGCCAAGTCAGGTCGTTGGGAGAGTCATTTTCTCTCTTTCTCTCTCTTTCTCTCTCTCTCTCTCTCCCAAATAAGAAAAATACCCCTTTGCACTCCAGATCATTCCCAATCGGAATCGATTTTTAAAAGGGGGGGGGGGTGAGGGCCAGGGCTGACCTTGGCGGACATCTGGGAAGTTCAGCAACCCAGCCTTTCAGACGAAAACGCTCAAAGCCCAGGTGGGCGCCCTACTGGATTTCCGAAGTTCAAAGGAAAGAGATGCCTAGTGCAGGGATTCCTCCCCAGAGTGAAAGCTCCGTCCGCCGCAAGGCAGACCTCCATAAAGAACTAACAGCCCTTCGGGGAACCCCGGGGTGCAACGCCCGCAACTGGGCCTGCAGCGGGGCCTCGCTCCACACCCCTCCACAAACACGCAACCGAGCACCCCACTCCGTCAGGGAACCCACCCTGCAGCCGCCACCGTTCCAACCCGTTTCTACCCGATTTTTGCAGCCTGTGGCTGCAACATCAACACCAGCGGCCCCCTCTAGCGAAAGCGGGCACTGGGCTCAACGCAGGAGCGATCTGTCGGTGAAATACGCGCTGCCGTGCCGTTCGGAAGCGGCGGGCCGTCTCTTCCCAAGGCTGTCGGACGCTGTCCACGGCAAGTGCGTGAGCGAGTGAGCGAGTGTGTGGGTGTGAGTGCGAACGCGCGCGCTCCAGTGCGCGCTGGGTCACAGTCCCACGCGCACGGCGGGCCAACCGGCCTGGCCCACGCTACCTGCAGCCGCACGCCTCCACCACCATGTCCTCGTACTGCTTGTAGACCACGTTGTTGGCGGCGTCGATGTAGAGGATACTGATGGGGCTGAGGCGCGCGGGCACGCAGCAGGAGGCCGGCGCCGCATCCGGCGCCATGGAGTTGAGCAGCGTCTGAATGATGGCGTGGTTGGTGGGCTCGAGGTGCGAGCGCAGCGGGAAGTCGCACACGCCCTCGCAGCGGTACGCCTCGTAGTCCAGCGGCGCGATGATCCAATCGTCCCAGCCCAGCTCCTTGAAGTCTACGTGCAGCGGTTTCCGGCTACAGCGGCTCCGGCTCCTGCGCCCATGGCCCCGGCCCGCGCCCCCGCCGCTGCCCTGCGCCGCGCGCGTCCCGGTTAGTGCCGTCCGCCGCCGCCTGCGACCGCCGATGGCCACCCTGGACGACGCGCCGCCAGGTCCCGGGTCCGGCGGCGGCTCCGCGGCCAGAGAGGCCCCGAGCGCGCGGGCCTGGGCGCGGATCTCCCGGAACAGGCTCTCCTTCCTCTGCGTGCGGGAGGAGACTACGAGCAACGCACGCTCCTCCGCCGCCGCGCCGCCGCGCCAGCCGAAGCCCAGCAGCCTCACTGCCAACGGGCTCCGCCCCGGGCCGGCCACTGCGCGCAGCAAGAGACAGAACGCGCGGGTGGCTCGCGACTCCCGGCGGTGGCGCCGCACGGCGTCGGCCACGTCGAACACCTCCCAACGCGCGCCGTCCAAGGGCTCGGCGGCCCGCGAGTGCAGCAGGCGCGGGGCGCGGGCGGCGCCCGGGCACGTGGACAGTAGCAGCAGTGTCGGCGGACGCGTCGCAGTGCCAAGGTCGGGCTCCGGCGACTGGCGACGCAGCACGCGCAGCTCGGCGCCCACCACCTCGTCGGCGTCGGAAAGACTGGACACGTCGAATAGGAAGCTCTGGCCGGTCTCGGCCGCCGACTCGTCTGGAGGGGACCGGCAGAAATAAAGAGAGAAAGAGCGCAGTGAGAGCGAGGCCCGCACTCCCCGCGGCGGGGCCTCCAAGCGCAAATGGCCCAGCCGCGCGGTTAGCGGGAGTAAGGCCCGGTGGGCCGGTGCCCGTCCCCGCGTCCCGAGCCCCGCCGGATCCCCGTAGCCTGGCCCAGAGCACAGCGAGCATTCTCCCCGACTCTCAGCACCGGGGCTTTGGCTCACGGAGCCGAGCGTCCCGCCACCGAGACAACCAGACACCGCACAGCGCGGGACCGCGGGACCAAAAGCTCACGCTGCACCTGGGAATAAGGCTTCAGGCCGCGGCGTCCAGCCTCAGAGGCATGAGTTTGACCCTCAGAGTCAGGGGATGGCCTTCCCTAGCGAAGTGGACAGAAGTCGCGCGCCGCTTGCTGCGCTCACGCGCTGCAAGAGAGCTGCTCGTCCAGTCCGGGCTGTGCGCAAACTCGAGTCTTGGGGCCCGAAAGCTCTGCTCCTACGCTACCTGTCTTCCCCCAACCCGGCCTTGACATCCCCGCCAGGCACGCTCTCCCTTGCCGGCGGGGCCGTTCGAGGCGTCTACCAGGGAGCGCGTCCCTCCAGGGCGACCTAGGAGAACTGAGGCCCAGACAGGGGCCAGGCTCCCCCGCCTCCGCATTGGGCGCCCCTGGTCGCGCTTACGACCCCCAGGCTCGGCTCCTCCATCTGTTCCCGTGGCCTCGGGAGGAGGGGGAGGGTCGGCCAAGGACCGCAAGGGATCTTCTCGTTAGGGTTTGAGGCAGCGCAGCAATGAGGGCAGCGGGCCGAGCGAGGTCTCCCTCCAGGCGCCTTCCCTCCGTTGTAACTTATCTCGGGCTTGGGTTTTTATTTCTGGTCTTGGGCTTTTTTTCCCCCCTTTGGGGGCTCAAGTTGGGGGGAGGTTAAAATTCCACCAAGGAAGAGATAAGGAACTCCCTTTGAAGGAGGTCATATGGTTTCGTTTTGCCCCAAACTCGGAGAGACTGCGGACTCCCCACCACCACCATAGGGGATTTGCTGACCAACCGAGGAGCCAGGCGCTGATGCCTGAGGTCCCAGGTCTGGGCCCTGTGTATTGGCCTCTGGGGACCTCATGCAGCCCTCTCCAAGCTGAGGCTCCGCGTGCACTCCCCGTCCTCGCTTTCTCCCAGGGCTCTCTCTGCCCCACCAGCAGCCACGATATCCTCTCATTGAGGCAGAACGGAGAGGTGGTCTCCCCAGCTTTGCCAGCCTGATAGAGCTCCCAGAGAAGGACTTGGAGACCGCAGCATGGTAGACCTAGGGCACACGCCCCCTCTCCTGCAGCTGGGAGCTGGGAAAGAAGGTCAAGGCTGAAGCCTTCCCTGGTCCTGTGCTCCAGGGCCAGGCTTTCCCAGTGAGTACCCCAGCATCCAGCCCAGGGGCCATGTCAGACCCTGGGAGAATGTGTGATGGGTCCAGGGGAACCATGGGGCCCAAGAGGAGGCTGTGTGTGCACAGGCACCCTGTGTATGGTGGTGCTGGGGTGGGCCATTTGAGCCAGGCATGTCCTCTGCTGCTTTCCTGAGCTGGGACTCCAGGTGTGCAGCCTGCAGTGGCCGCCAGTGCCAGGGTTGGTCTCAGACCCAGGCGCTTACTCTCCAGGCGGCTTTGCCTTTCTTTCCCTCCCGCCTTCCTGGGTCTCTGGCTGGACAGAATTAAGGCCAAAATTACTTGCATTTCCGCCTGAAATTAGTTAAATTTTCCCTATCTGTCTGCTTTAATGACTTCAATGGAAATTAATAAAATCCAGATGACACACAGCAAAACCACCATGCGGCCTCACCCACGTCCTACCTTCGCAGGGCCCAGGGCAGGGTGAGGTGGGGCGCTCGGGGCAGAGAGGCCTGCGTTCCTGCCCACACAGGGTCTTGCACCGCTGGCTCTCCGGGGGCCCAGCGCAGGAGCAGGCACCCGGAGCCACAACTTCACACACCAGCCCCCAACCCGGCCCCAGCCTGCTGAGGAAGGCTCCTCATATCTGCTGATGCCACCAGCCTCTCCAAGCCCTGTAGTCTCTGGGCTCCCCCCAAGTTGGTGTGGCTCCACGGGAGAGCTGCGAGGACCGCCGTGAGGAAGCAGCCGCCGCCACCATCCCCGCGCAGTCCCCCTCGGCGGGACCCCCCCCCCAAGTTCCTGCTCCTGCCCATCCTTCTTCTCTGATGGCTCTGGGTCCTGGGCAACTCCAGCTTCTTCCCCCCAGGAAGCAAGGGGGACCCGCGGGCCGATAGGGCCAGGGCAGCCCGGCGGAGAAGGGACGCGCTCGGGCCGGGGCCCCCGCGAGATGCGCGCGCGACCCGCGCTGCTCTGGCGCGCGCTGGCCTGGGCGAAGGTGCTTTCTAACAACTGAGGCTGGGAGCCGCGGCGCCACGGTCCCGATTGGGATGGAACCGGGGCACGGCTCCAGGGCTTGTCTCAGCCCTGGACCCGACGGGATGGGCTGGCGCTGGGCAAACCTAAGTACCTTGGGTAGCCTGGTCCGCGAAGCCGGTGATGGTGTCCGCGCGGCTGTGGCCCGAGACGGAGGCGGCGGCCACCCCGGCCTGAACCCTCCCGGCCAGGCTCCGGTAGAGCGACATCATGAAGTGGTGCGGCACCACCGAGCCGTTCCTGAAGCTGGAGCCCGCGGCGCGGCGCGCAGCGCCCGGGACGGCCGAGGCGCCCGCAGCCCGGACGAGGGTCCGCCCGCCGCTGCCGCCGCCGCCGCCGCCGCCGCCGCCCCCCGGGTTCCGGACCGGCCCTGCCCCCGCCGCTCGCAGCACAGCGGCCGCTTCCAGCCCGTCGCGGGGGCGGCAGGCGCTCAGCAGCCAGAGGCACAGCGCGGCGGCGGCGCTCAGGTCCATGGGCTCCGTGGGCCGGCCAGGCGGGCGGCGCGGGCTCCGTGGCTCCGGGAAGTCCCCCGGCGCCTTTTGAACATAGTGTTTAATAATGGGGGAAGTGTGCGCAGCAAGCCGCGGCCCCCCCTCCTCGCCCACCCCACCCCCGCCCGGCGCCCGGAGCAGCGCCCCCTGCTGAACGCTCCGGTGGCAGCGCGGCGCCCCTTACTCGGGCCTAAGGCGAGTCCAGGGCAGGAGCCGCCTCCCCCACCGCCGCAGCCCCCTAGCCCTGGGGGCGGCACCAGCCCCCGGCTCCCGGAGAGACCTAGGGCGCCCCGCCTCCCTCCCCAAGGCAGTGCGGCCCCCGGCCCCGCCCGCGTGCGCCCAAGACCTGCGCGCCCGCTTCGGTTCGCAGCTTGGGGCACCGCGCGAAACCGCCCCGCTGCGGAGAAGCCCCCGCCCAGTCCCCGCGCCTACTCCGCGGGGGCTGGGACCGCCAGAGGTGGGGCCGCGGCAGGACTCGGCCCCGCGCGCCCAGAGGCCGCCTGGGCGTGAAGGGAGGCCACGAAGGCGCCGTTTCCATCCCTGAATTCGCACCCCGACGCAGCCCCCCGAGGATCGCGGCGCGCGGTCCCCGCCAGGCAGGGGATTCGCAGGGAAGGAAGAGCCGGCGAGCGGCTGGGGGCGCGGGCCGGAACGCGACCACGGCGGGGACCGGCCTTCGGGGAGGAAAGCTGGGCGTGGAATTTGCGCTGAAGCCGGAGCCAGGCTCTTCGAGGATCTCGGCAGCGGCGAAGGCAGCCCCCGGGGCGATGAGAGGACTGCAACTGAGCCCTGCGCGGTGGCGCGCGGAGGCCGACGGCGGTCGCAGGTGGAGACCTTCCGCGCCAGCCCGCGGGAACGCGCGGATGCGGCTGGAGCCGGCAGGCGAAGAAGAGCCCCGAAGTGACACCCTCGGCTTTCCTTCCCCCGTGACGGTCACGGAGCGCAGCCGGCGTGCGTGGACGGGAGACCCCGCGGTGAGGCGCGCGCGCGCACACACACGGCCGGGAGGGACCACCTGAGCCAGCTCTGGCACCGTGGCCGCTTCCTCCCAAGCGAATTCCTCAACACCACAGTTTGGGCCACCGCGGGGACGCGGCACGCTCTCGGTCCTGGGAGAGGTGTGGGGCTGGAAGGAGAAGCCAAGCTGACCCCCGGGCCTACTTGGAGGAGAAAGGTCCAAGGTTAGCGTGGGAGAATGAGCGCGAGAAGGACTGATGACCTGGGCCAGGGTCCACGCTGCCAACCCCGAGGGGCTTCAGGGTGCCGGGAGGCGCGCGCCTTGGGAACGAAGCACGGGCTAAGGCTAAGCCATGGGCACGCGCGTCGCTCTGCTGGTGCGAGCACGTGTTGGAACCGTCACAGGCCGGCTGAACTGGCGTCTGTGCCCTCACTGGCCTCCTTTGCCCTGTAACCACGCAAGAGGCGTGGGCTGGAGTCAGTGGGCCTGGTTCCGGGTGGACTTTGACCTGTAAGGATGTCGACATCAGTCTCCCCAGCTGTACTACAGTGGGAGAGAATGGGCTGGTCTGGGCACAGGCCTGGCCCAGCAGGTGACACTCCTGCCCTGAGGCCCCCTTGGGGTGAGGGAAGCAATGACCGGGGTTGTGCTCTTGCTGTCCTGGTGGGTGTAGGCCGCCTAGTGCCACTGAGACAGAATTGCCTCCTGTGTGAAAGGGGAGGATTCCCCCTGCGGGAGGTTTGTGTGCAGCCAAGAGAGCAGGCTGGTGCGACGCGCCACCCCCAGGCTGCTGTGGGTGCTGGGTGCTCATGGCCCAGCGAGCAACTTTTGAACACACTACCTGGAGTGGGGATGGGGCGATGCTGGAGTCCCTGCCCGAGAGCTGGGCGGGCCCAGACAGGACCCACCTGTGTTTCTTCACCTGGACAGGGAAAGCCATCATTCACACATCCCCTTATAGTCCCTTCTATCCAGTCAATGCTTACCGCCAGCGACTCTTCCAGGAGTTGTGAAACCAACAGGACAAACACACGGTGCCTTAGCTTGGGCAGGAGAGACAGTAAACAGCAGGCACTTAACATGTGTTAGGCTGTCAGGTGGCTCAGAGTCCAGCATGGGGATAAAACAGCGCTGGGGTTTTTCTGAGCAGCGGAAGAACACTGAATGGTTACATTTACAAATTACAAATGGTTACATTTGTCAGCCCTGGGATGCCATTTCTGTCTGGTGACCGCTGTATCCTGTGCGGGGGTACTATCATTCTCATTGTATAGGAAAGGAAAGTTGAGACACAGAGACATTCAGCGGCTTGCCCAGAGTCACCCGGTGAGCGGCAGAACCTCCGTCACCAGCTTTGGGCTTCTTGCAACTCAAGGGACAGGAGCGCGAGGGGCCTTTGTCTGCCAACCCCAGTGGAGACACGGAGTGTTCCTGCCTCTCCTCTCCAGCTCTCTGGGAAAACAAAACAAAACAAAAAAGCTGCGTTCTTTCTTCTTTTTAATTTTCGCTTGTTTGTTCTTTGAGAAAGAAGGAAAGAGATGGAGAACCCCCCCCACACACACACACACACTCAGGGTCACTTCCCAAATGCCTGCAATGGCCGGGGCTTGGCTGGGCTAAAGCTCAGAGCTGGGAACTCAACCCAGGTCTCCCATGTGGGTGGCAGGGATCCAACTGCTTGAGTGTCACCTGCTGCCTCCCAGGGTGTGCATTAGCAGGAGGCTGGAGCCAGGAGCCGGAGCAGGTGCGGAACCCAGCCACTGCAGTGTGGAGTCTTAACAGCCCGGCTAAGCCCCCCATGCCCTGTCTTCGCAGAGAAATGAGCTCGGGTCAGAGGGAAGACAGAAAGTGGTCCCAGGGGCTCACAACACCTGCCGTGGAAAACAGTCTCACACCAGCAGCAGGGCCTGCCTGCGACCCAGGTCTCCAGATGCCCTGCCCAGGGCCTCCCAAGGCGCATGGGCGAACATCCACCCATTCGCATGGAAGATGGTGCCTTCACTGTGGACGGAGAGAGGTGAGACCAGGAGTTCACCACCGCTTACTCCGTGCAGCTCAGGCCCTCCCCAGAACAGGCGGCCCTTGCTGGGCCCCCAGTCCAGCCCAGCTCAGGCCTGCTGGGGCCTCCCTCTTGGGGGCATGGGGAGCCGCTGGTCCACAGGTTGGACAGGAGAGAGGTGGACCTCCTGGCCTGGAGACCTGGAAGCTCAGTGTGCAGGAATTCCTTCATCCTCGGGACCCGAGGCCAGGAGGCCCTGGCGTAGAGGGCGGGGGTGGAGCTCAGAGAACCTGGGAGAAAATGGGGGCCCGAAATTCCAACTGCAGTTCTTCATCGCCCTGACAGCCATCCCGAGCCCCCAGACCTCCAGCTCTGTCAGAGAGAGGAGGGGAGACTGGCTCCCACAGCCGCAGGAGGGAGAGGCAGCCTGGCTGGTCCCAGAAGCTCCCCAGAGAGCACTCGGCTGCTCACCCATCTCCTGCAGGTCAAGTCCCTGGTTCAGGTCATGGACTCCCAGTGGTGGGTCACCCAGGCCAGCCTGGATCATGATGAAGTCTCCCCAGGCTCCCACAGTGACGGGGAGCTGTGTCCCAGGCCGCCGTCTGATAATCTGTGTGGGCCACCCCTTGGCTGAGGGGCGCCATCCTGACATCTGGATTCATGCCACTTCGGAGGGCACACCTGGAGCCTGCCAGCTAGAGCCACATCACCGTGTCTTCCCAGCTCCTCAACGAGGGGCAGCCCGAGCGGCAGCCTGCTCAGCCTTGCACAGGCTCTCCTGCCACAACCACACACCTGGCTCTGCTGACAGAGCTCTGGGGTCCCTCGGAGCCGGCCTGCTTGGCACCCAACATTGTCACCATGGGGGGCCAGGCAACCAATGACTGGTGATTGGCAGCCTGGCACCACAGCCCGAATGGGACCAGGAGTCCTGCGTGAGATGCTGGGTCTTGCTCTCTGCAGCAGCCCGAGGGCCTCTCAGCTCTGCTCCGGGCCCCCTGTGGTGCAGCCTGGTGCGCTTCAGCCTGCACGCTGTCCTCTCTGGGGCTACGTGGGACCCAGGGACCCTGCAGCTGTGCGCTATGTTGGAACAAGAGGCTGGAGCTCCTGAAAGTCAAGAGACATGGGTTCAAATCGTGCCTCTAACCTGGGGCTGCAAACCCCTCACCCTGCCTGACTCTCGAGCCACAGATGTAGACTGAGTCTGGCAGTCAGGGTTCACTGAGGGCCCAGCCCGCCCGCCAGGGAACGGTGGAGAGAGTGTGAGGAGGGGTCCGCTGCCAGGCGCCTGTTCCCCACCTGGACCCAGCAGGGCCTCCAGCCTTTCTGACTCAGAGGTGGAGAGATGGCAGGGCTCTGGGGAAGGTCTCCGCATAGGGAGGGCGGGAACGCATCACCCTCGGCCTCTGGGGATGCTAGTCTCTGCTGGGCTGGGCATGGCTGCTGCTGTCCACGGCGGCGGAGCTGGGAAGATTCCAGCGGGCTCTCGCTCAGCCCCCTGCGATGCCCAGGGCAGGACTTCCTCAAGCTCAAGGAATTTCCCATGCTCAACCCCTGGCTGCCCCCCCGCCACGGTTACCCCGGGCAACAGCTGTGGCATCCACAATGGGGTCGGTGCAAGCCGGGCCCCAGGCCACTGGACATGACCTGCCTGCGTGCCCCAGGCCGCCAGGTTGGGGAGGGGAGGCAACCGAGAAGAAGGGAGAAGAGCCCAGGAAGCTTTCTAAGAGGAACATGTCAGTCCTGGGGTTTGGGACAAGCGGCTGCGGGCTGGAGGACACTGCCATCTGCTGGTCATTTCTTGTAACAGCACCACGGTGTGTCCGAACCTCTTGCCTGCTGACCAGGTAGGGGACAAGACAGAAATGAGTTTCCAGGGCTCTGCAGCGAGGGAGCCCACCTGGTACTGTAAGGTGACCTGGGAGAGGAGGGCACAAGAACCTCCTGCTTTGACTCATATTTTTATGTGAAAAAGCAATAGATACTCGGGGGGGGGGGTCTTCATTATCAGATATCAAAATAAACTAATTCCTGGGAGCCAGACTGACAGAACACAGGAACAGAGTAGAGAATCCAGAAGCAAATGACAGCGTTTCAGAGTATTTGGAATATAATAATGGTGACAGTGACAGTGA